CCCCCCTCCCCGCTGACAGGGACCCGCTGTCACTGCCACCCGTGTGTGTTGTCGTAGTCTTGCCGCCCCGCCCCGCCCGGGCCGGAGCTGCACTCGGAGCCTCTGATCACTGATGACTTGATCGCTCACCATGATGATGACCCGCTGCCCAACGCAGCGCGTGCGCCCGGCCGGCCGTTTGCTGCGGGGGCGTTGACCCACCGCGGCGTTGACGGCAGCGTGCCGGAAGTGTGGGGCGGTTGGCGCGAGCGGTCGCCTAATCGCTAGGGGGGCGGGGGCTGAGGTTTGGGGCGTCCACGCAACCTGGAAGTCAGCGACAGGTCGCGGGGTAGGGGTGGTGGTGGGGATAATTGGTTTACGTGTTCGAACCGGCGCACGTTTGCCTGTCTCCTCCATTCCCCCTTCTTTTCGTGGCCTTTCTACTTTCCCGGCTCGGTTCCAGCCTTTGCTCCCGGTGCGTGAGCCCTACGCCGTGGGCCGGGCCCAGCCATGGCATTGATCGCGGGTGGGCCGCCCCTCTCACCGCCCCGGCCGCCCCGGCCGCGGCCCGGTGCCGCGCCGCGCCGCACCGGGCGTGGCCGCCCCTCCACTCGCCCGCTTTATCAGGTTGGCGGCATGGGACGAGACGGGGGCTGCCTCTTCTTGCCGTCGGTGGCTCTGCTGGCTCTGCTACCCGGAGCGGCGGGGGCGCGGGGGCGCGCTCAGGGGCTCAACGCCGGAGCAGGGCGGCCGAAGGGAAGGGGGTCGATACAAGGGCGCACGCCCCCGGCGGCCTCCATCCCCTCCCATCCTATCCTCGCGGCTTGAGGCGTCCTTTTTGCTCCCGAAGCAAAACGTCTCCCTCTCTCCTCTTTTCTCAGGGCCCGCCCCCCGAGCCCGCTCAAAGAGGAATGCGTCCCGCCGAGCTGAACTCACTTCCGGGTATCCGGGGTTGTATTCTGCGAGGTCCCCGTCATTGCGCGTCGGATCCCCCCTCGGGCTGCCGTCCAGCGTTCAGGTGGTGCGACCCTATTTGCTCTCCTTATCGGGCCGCTTCGCTTTGGGCGAGAGCCGCTAATCGCGAGGTGGTGCTGTTGGTCGATTGGCCTCTAACCCCCCCCCCCTCTCCACGGGTCTGCCTTCGCAGCTTCGATTCGCTCGCTCGTCCCGGCACCGCCGCGCCTCAGAGCGCCCACCCCGCCCCTCTCTCCGGTCAAGGGGGAGGCCCGGCGCCTCTGGCCTGGCCGCCCGTTGCTGACGCACTTGCCCCCCACTACGCACCCCTCTCCCTCCATCCGACCCCTGGATGCTCAGCGCCACACTCCAGCTCCCTGCGGATCACGAGGGTCGATTAGCGAGGGGTGTACGCACTACTACTGTACGTACACCGGCCTGATGAACCCGCTTGTCAAAAGCCTGCGTGCTATCGTCCACCGCCCACCCCAAATCACCAAACGTGCGCGAGAAACCTAAATGGCGACAATCTTACTCGTGCCATTCTCTGGGGAGGTACCTCCTCTCCTCCCCCCTCTTCCTCTCTCGCTCCAACTCGAGGGTGGTGCGGCTGGTGCGCAGGGGAGTGTGTATCGACGCGTCGCGCCCGCCCCGCGCCCTGCAGCCAGCTTGTCCGCGACGTTGCGCAGTTGGTCGGCCAACCCCCTCCTCCTCCGTGGCAATGTAACCGGAATCTGCGCTCCGGCGCGGTTGCGCCCCCGTTTTCCGCTGCTCCCGAGGCCCAGGAGGTCCCTACCTAGGCGGTCTCTCCCATCCTCTTTCTCCTCACCAGCCCTCACCGCCCCGTATCTCTCTCTCTCTCTCTCTCTTTCTCGCACCCGGCACCGAGGCGGAGAGGGGCAGGAGGGAGGGGGTTGCAAGGCCGGCGTGGAGTGGCGGGCGGGCGGTGTGTGAGAGACAGAGAATCGATCCCGGCCTAGCCTCGCTGCGGGCCGGCCGCGGTGGCGCTGGCGGGGCGGGGCGGAGAAGGGGAATGGCGAAATGGGTACAGCACGGCACGGCGGCGGCGAGAGCCAGCGCCAGAGCCGCGGTGAGATTCGCGAGCCGAGCCGACTCGCAAGGCCGCCGCTAGAGAGCTGTGCCCCCTCTCCCTCCCCCCTCTCTCTCTTTGAGGCGTAGCGCGCCGCGCGGCGCAGTATCTTGCCCGACCAGAGAGGCCCGCCCGACTAGATCCGCGGGCGAACACGAAAATACTGCGGTGCTTAGGTCCGAAGTGGCGCGCCAGGCGTGCGTCATTTACGCACGCACCCACACGCACCCACACTAACACACACACTGGCACTAGACAAGGTCGCGGCAGACCGGCGGCGGTGTTTGACCACCGTCTGGACAAAGTCTAGACTGAAAGATTGTCTTCTCAGCCCAACTCTGATTCATTCATCCGCCGCGATGGGCCGATACTGAATGCATTTCGGTCGAGCCGGGGTTGAGCTTTGCGGGCCTCGACTGTTGGGTGGGTCCCGGAGGTCCCGGAGGTCCCGGAGGTCCCGAGTACCGCCCGCCGCTCCGCCATGTTCCAGATCGCGGTGCTCGCGGTGGTCGGTGGGGTGGGGGTGCCTGGTGGGGGAGGGCCCGGCGCAGCCCGAGCCCGGCCGAGGGGGAGCAGCGGGGCGGACACCTGTTGCTCGCCCCATGAATGGGCGTGTTGTGACGGGCCGAACGTAGCCGGCCGCGATAGCACTCTCCTCCTGGCACACGGGGACTCCCCTGCTGTGTGGCCCATGATGACCCTCTCTAGGGCCTGAGCACAGGGCCTCTCCTGGCGTGCGGGCGCCGACGGCCACAAGCCGGCATACATAATGCGGGAGCGTCTCCACTTTCCCTCGGCCTGCCTATGCGCCCGCCCCGCGATCCTCGGCCACTACGGGGGTGCTGGAGGGCAGCGGAGGGGGACTCTCTCTTCTCCCCCTCCTCCCTCTTCCCTCTCTCCCGTCTCCCCTCTCTGCGCGCACACGTGCCCCCCTCTCCCTCCTCCCTTTTCCCAACGTGTCCCCGTGACGCGGCGCCCGTCCTTATCACGGCCGCCCGGTGTGACGTTTTGTGGTGCCCGGCCAGGCCAGGCCCCAAGTCTGGCAACGCCGCGGCGGCGGCACACGGCTGCGTGAGAGAGACGACGCCGGCGAGGTGTTCGGGAGAAATGTTATTGTCGCTCGCGGCTGAATGAGTGAGAGGTGGCGAGGTGGCGTCGTTGTTATTGAACGGGTGGGTGACTGAATGAATGAATGAACGGACGGTCCTTGCAGTGCCGCAGCCTCGGCCGCAGCCACGGCCTCCTTCCATGTAAGGATGCACACCTGCACTTTTGTCGCGCTCCTCGCGATTGCGATTGCGCCGTACGTTTTGCTGTCATGGTCAGCAGCAGCAGCAGCAGCCAGTAGTGCTGGCCGGTGTTGCCAGTGCGAGAGTGAGTGAGAAGCATTGTGCACGCGCCTGGATGCTTCCCCTCTATCTCTCTCTCTCTCTCTGTCTGCTGCACCGTCGACTCGAGTAGTCTCGGCAGCTGCAACAGCTGGGGGCCCAACTTGCTCCGCCTCTGACCTTGCTAGTTTTCCGCTTTAGTCGATGTCACTGTGTGTGTATACATCGGCATTCAACACTCGACAGACGGAAGTGCATACATAGCGC